TGTGACATAAAACCGCAAAGCACCAAGAAGTTGGCTTATCGGCGACACAATTACAGACAGGACAGACAAAGTACATAAGTAACAATAAAATATTCGTAGACTTCTTCGAAAATTAAGTTATAAACTGGCCTACGTGCCATTTCTATTTTATTATTTTTCGGTCGACCGACAACAACAATTCTTTTCACAGTGAGGTTAGATCAAGTCTTTAAACGGCGTTTAAAGCTATAAACGCCCAAAATCGGCCAGTTCGTTTCTTTAAACGCGTTTAAGCACAAACTAAGTTTAAGGTTCTGGTAAAATCCGTTTCGCGCGTCAAACTGAGTTTCAGACGTTAAACTGGTTTAAGATCGCTTGATGAAAATGGGCCTTAATCTCTGATGATCTTGTAAAATTGTTAATAGAGTTTCAATAAGAGACGCACTGCTTTTCTATGTACAATGACCTTTCAAGTGTTTAAGTGAGAAATTGTCTGAAACTGATGCGTTAGGCCCATTTTCATCAGAAACAAGCGAAACGCAGTTTGACGAAACTAAGTTTATGTTAAACACCGAAATTAAACGCGTTTAACGACGAACCGTTTTCACCAGCGCTTCGGCACGTTTCACAAACTGCTTTTATTGAAACGCAGTTTAAGAAACTGGAAACACTGGCATCGTTGCAAAAGTGAAAAATATTACGATTCTGATCGCAAAATCATCTTATCAAGGAATCATTTGGGTCCATGACGTCAATAATCCGTTATCAAACCCAAACTTCCTGCTCGAACTAACCGTAAAATTTTAAAGTTTGCTTTGTTTATGCACGATTTGTGCATTCGTGTATGGCTTATGAATGGTATACAGGTTTTTATTAGATTTTCTATTTGAAAAGTTACTTAAACAAGTAGAAAATTAAGTCCTGCGGACGCCCTTTCAGATCCGAGTCAGGGAGGATTTTACTGGGTAAACATGTCAGCTGGAATCTCACAAAACCCAGAACACCAGCTCTATCGCGGAGCTCACCCCATGTACAATTGGATGTGATGTAGTTGTGCTGAAACCCTTAAAATCTCTAGCAGAAATTTGCATGCATTCTGTGATATGAAACCGCAAAGCACCGAGAAGTTGGCTTATCGGCGACACAATTACAGACAGGACAGACAAAGTACATAAGTAACAATAAAATATTCGTAGACTTCTTCGAAAATTAAGTTATAAACTGGCCTACGTGCCATTTCTATTTTATTATTTTTCCGTCGACCGACAACAACAATTCTTTAAACAGTGAGGTTAGATCAAGTCTTTAAACGGCGTTTAAAGCTATAAACGCCCAAAATCGGCCAGTTCGTTTCTTTAAACGCGTTTAAGCACAAACT